ACTGGAGTGCAGCGGCACGATCTTGGCTCACTGCTACCGGTCTTCCAGGTTCAAGCGATTCTCCTGCCTCAACCTCCCAAGTAGCTGGGATTATAGGCATCCATCACCACGTCCAGCTAATTTTTGTGTTTTTAGTAGAGATGGGGTTTCACCATGTTGGTCAGGCTGGTCTCAAACTCCTGACCTCAGGTGATCCACCCGCTTTGGCCTCCCAAAGTGCTGGGATTACAGGCATGAGTCACTGCGCCCAGCCAAAATTTCCCTTCTTAAACTCTTGCCTTCACTCCAGAAAGTCGAAGTGGCTGCTTTTGATGTGAATCCAACCACTCCCCCATTGCTAGTTTTGGTAAATAAAGTCACTTTCTACCTAGTTATTGGGCTGGAGCTCTCCAAGTGGCATTGGCTGGACCTGCTTGGGTTACATGATCATAAAGTAACTTTGTATTGACTCCCGCACTCCTCACATGCTTATTCCATGCAGGAAGTTCTCTCTCGGCAACTCAGGTTTGCTCATCACGCTTAAGCCAACAGAAGTCCCATGGTCACTTGAGGTCACTGTGGTGGGTGCTGTGGTGTGGGTGCCGGCTGCAGCTGGCACGCGGTGATTTCCAACCTACAGTCAGTGGAATGATGGCACCCAAGAGATATCAGAGTGCCCCCCTTTATGGGGAGGCACTCACGCCCCCAGCTGCTGCGAGTGTCGTGTCTCTTCTGGAATTGACTTCTGTGCTTAGGAGCGGCCTAGCACCTGGTTGTGTCCCCTTCTGGGGACAGTCACATCCAGTGTGGGGGGACAAAGGCCAGGTTGTCTTGTCTGAATGCAGGACAACTCTGAGGCCCTTCCCCAGCCCCCAAGATACCCCATGCATTGCCTGAAGCCTTGAGGCAACTGCGTCCCAGTTCAGTGTCTCTCTCTGAGCCCCACACTCCCTCCCAGGCGCGCTTCCTGAAACACCCTCCCCCATAAACCTCCTGCACTCCCTCCCAGGTGCGCTCCCTGAAACATCCTCTAAGAATCTGTTTCCAGGAAGCAGACATAAAACAGTCTCAATTCAGGAGTTGGAAAGTCGACTCCCACACAAAAGACTCGGTTTAATAAAGGGGAATCTTCACCCTTTTCTATGAGGGCTTAATGCAGGTGCAAGGCTTAGAGCTGTGGAGAGGAGGAGGCTGGCTTCTTTCTTTCCTTTTCTGCCGGCTGCAGCTGGCACGTGGTGATTTCCAACCTACAGTAGGTGGAATAATGGCACCCAAGAGATATCAGGTCCTAATCCCCGGAACCTGTAAGTTATCTCACATAGAAAGAGTCTGTGTGGCCGGGCGCGGTGGCTCACGTCTGTAATCCCAGCACTTTGGAAGGCTGAGGTGGGCGGATCACCTGAGGTTGTGAGTTCGAGATCAGCTTGACTAACACAGAGAAACCCCGTCTCTATTAAAAATACAAAATTAGCTGGGCGTGGTGGCAGGCACCTGTAATCTCAGCTACTTGGGAAGCTGAGGCAGGAGAATCGCTTGAACCCAGGAGGCAGAGGTTGCGGTGAGCCGAGATCGCGCCACTGCATTCCAGCCTGGGCAACAAGAGCAAACCTCCATCTGGAAAAAAAAAAAAGAAAGAAAAGGAAAAAAAAAAAAAGAAAGAGTCTTTGTTTGCAGAGGTGAATGAAGATCTTGGGATGGGGAGATTGTCCCGGACTATCTGGATGGGCTCCAAATATCATCACAAGTGTCCTTATAAGGGAGAGGCAGAGAGAGATTTGACACACACAGAAGAAAAAGCCATGTGACCAGGGAGGCAGAGATTGGCGTGAGGCAGCCACTAGCCGAGGAATGCTGGCAGAAGCTAGAAGAGAAATTCTCCTTCTAAAGCCTTTGGAGCTGGGATGGTCCTGCTGATACCTGAATTTCAGCCCAGCGAGACTGATTTTGATCTCCTGGTCTCTGGAACTGAGGGAGGGTCCATCTCTGTGGTTTTAAGTCATTTAGTTCGTGACGATTTATAATAGCAGCTTCAGGAAATGCCTATGTGGTCTCTGGGGAAGGGAGAGGTGGGAGCAAGGCTAAAGGAACAGGGAAGTTTTGTTTGATGGGCATGACCAGGGGATGGCTCTGTGCTCTAGGGGGCTGGTAGCACTTTCTCTCCTCCAGAGACACCTCCCACCTGCAACCCACACATGACTGGGGTAACATATGTGCATCTCCATGTCCCCTGATGCCAGGGGTGCCTTATCCACCAACTTGTCTCTGAGTCCTTCCCCAGCCCTAGGAATCCAACAAAATCTTCAGTTTTATCTGCTAAGTCCTGTTCGCTGCTCCAGGCAGCCCTATCTGCCAGGTTTGGGGCTGAACTCATACCAGCTTCCTCCATCCCTGGCCCCCTTCTGGTCCACAGAAACACTCACGTCCTTTGCTCCAGCACATTTGGGGCTGGGGGAACAGTTGATTTTCTTCAGAGCAGCGTGTTTTGACCCAGGTTTTATGGATCCCCTTCTCCTTAGTGGGCAGGGCAGAGGCTTTTCAAAAAAAAAAAAAATACAGTATTTACTTATTTATTTAGAGACAGAGTCTCACTCTATGCCCAGGCTGGAGTGCAGTGGCACAATATTGGCTTACTGCAACCTCCGCCTCCTGGGTTCAAGTGATTCTTGTGCCTCAGCCTCCTGAGTAGCTGGGACTACAGGTGAGCGCCACCACGCCCAGCTAATTTTTGTACTTTTAGTAGAGACGGGGTTTCACCATGTTGGCCAGCCTGGTCTCGAACTCCTAACCTCTGGTGATCTGACTGCCTTGGCCTCCCAAAGTGCTGGGATTACAGGCGTGAGCCACTGCACCTGGCCCATTTTAACCATTTTTAAGGGTACAGTTCAACAGTGTTAAGTATATTTACACTGCTGTGAAACAGATCTCCAGAACTTTCTCATCTTGCAAATCTGAAACTCTACACCCATTCAACAACTCCCCTCTTCTTGCTCCTCCAGTACCTGGCAACCACCATTCTATTTTTTTTTTTTTTTTTCCAGACTGTCTTCCTTTATTGCCCAGGCTGGAGTGTAGTGGGGTGATCTTGGCTTACTGCAACCTCCACCTCCCAGGCTCAAGAGATTCATGTGTCTCAGCCTTCCGAGTAGCTGAGATTACAGGCATGTGCACCCCACACCCGGCTAATTTTTCATATTTTTAGTAGAGATGGGGTTTCACTATCTTGACAAGGCTGGTCTCAAACTCCTGGCCTCAAGTGATCCACCTGCCTCAGATTCACAAAGTGCTGGGATTCCAGGTGTGAGTCACCTGGCCCAGCCTCTACTTTCTGTTCCTGTGAATTTTTCTAGATAACTCATGTAAGTGGAATCATACAGGATTTCTCTTTTTGTAACTGGCTATTTCCTGTAGCATAATGTGCTTAAAGCATATTCATGTTGTAACATTGACAAGATTTCCTTCCTTATTTTCAAGACTGGACCTCCCTCATTCTGTCACTCAGGCTGGAGTGCAGTGGTACAATCACGGCTCACTGCAGCCTCAACCTCCCTAGGCTCAGGTGATCCTCCCACGTCTGACTCTTAAGTAGGTAGGACTATAGGTGAGCACCACCATGCCCAACTATTTTTTTTTTTTTTTTGTATTTTTTTGTAGAGATAAGGCTTTGCTGTGTTGCCCAGGCTGATATCAAATTCCGGGGCTCAAGTGATTTGCCCACCTTGGCCTCCCCAAATGCTGGGGTTACAGGTGTGAGCCACCACACCTGGCTTCTTTCTTTTTTGAGATGGAGCTTTGCTGTGTTGCCCAGGCTGATATCAAATTCCGGGGCTCAAGTGATTTGCCCACCTTGGCCTCCCCAAATGCTGGGGTTACAGGTGTGAGCCACTGTGCCTGGCCTTCCTTCCTTCCTTTTTAAGGCTGAGTAATATTCCATAGCCAGGGTGGGCAGATTGCTTGAGCCTAGGAGTTTGAGACCAGCCTGGGCAACATGGTAAAACCCCCCCTCTTAAAAAAAAAAAAAAAAAGGACATCTTGCTTTCAGATGTCTACCAGAAGTGGGATTGCTGGATCATATACCAGTTGTATTTCTAATTATTTTTAGGAACCTCTATACTTTTTTCCATAGCAGTTGCATCATTTCATTTTACAATCCCATCAATAGCGCACAAGAGTTTCAATTTCTCAATATCCTCACCAACACTTTTTTTTTGATAGTAGCCATTCTAATGGGTGCGAGGTCACTGTGGCTTTGATTTGCATTTCTCTGATGGTTAGTGATGGTAAGCATCTCTTCATGTGCTTGTTGGCCATTTGTACATCATCTTTGGAGAGATATTATACTCGAGGGTTTACTTCCAGGCTTTCTATTCTATTCCATAGGTCTATTTGTCTTTATGACCATGCCATACTGTTTTGATGACTATAGCTTGTAGTATGTTTTGAAATCAGGAAGTGTGAAGGCAGAGGTTTTTGATATTCATCTTTTCCACCATCATATGTTCTCCATGACCTACAGGAAAATAACAAGATCCCTGGGTGTTCTCTGAACATCTCAGACACTTTCAAGCCAATATCTGGTCTCAATTTTAATGATCTCAAGCCATCGAGTTTTATTTTCTACAGAGGACTCTAAGTCTTTATGTCAAAGCCATAAAAGGCAATACACAAAAAGAACACCGAGGAGATGAATTACTCCATTCCACAAAAATCCATCACTGTCAGTACGTACGTGAATGCCCAGTTGTAGATGAATTTAAAGAGGGATATGCCCAGACCCTCAGTGGGGCTGACCCCTCCTCTGTTCCCTCCTCCTCTTCTTGGAAAGGTCCTGTGGGAAACTCAGAATGAACTAGGATCATGCAAAATTTTATAGCCCAAATATATGTCTGGGAGCAAAACGCACACACAATAACGTGGCCTTCAGCGCAGCCTGTTAACACTTTTCAGTTTGTTTTGTAACAGTCAATTCAACCATGACAAATGAGTGAATGAATGAATGACACCAACAACATTTTGACCTCATGTACAAAGTGACTTAAAAAAACTTTATTGCAGCTTCTTAGAGCAGAACTGAGTGTGCAATGCTAGGATCATCTTGGGGTCTTCAGAGTGGGAAACTGGGACATAGAAGAAGAAAGCAAGCCAGTGCTGGGAGGGCTGGCTGCCCCCAGGAAGCCACAATCTCCACAAGAGCTCTTGCTTGCCACACTGCAGAGGACCCAGCGACATCTGGCCGGGAGGGAGAGGACGCCCGGGAAGATGGGCTCAGGGCACCATGTTCCACCACTTGAAGGAGAAGGGCTTTCTGCGCACATTGGTGCCGCAGTGCACCTCCCCATGCCTGATGTGGTAGGTGTAGAAGTCATTGATGAAAGTGCAGTGCAGGCCCAGAGGCTCCAGCAGGGAACACACCTTCTCCTCCAGGCAGCAGCGGCCATTGATGATGGGCCCAAAGGGCTTGGGGATGCCCAGGTACTTCCCCAGCACCAGCATGTTCACCTGCAGAGAAATGAGGGCTCAGGTCACAGGCAGCAGCAGGCAGCAGCAGGCAGCCTGCAGCGCAATCTGAGTGGCCCCTCCCTTCTCTGACCTTTGGAAATAACAGCCCCTCCAGGCAGAGTGGCAGACCTGTAGTTCCAGCACTTTGGGAGGCTGAGGCAGGAGGATCATTGGAGCCTAAGAGTTTGAGACCAGCCTGGGCAACATGGTGAGACCCCATCTCTACAAAAAGTATTTTTAAAAATTAGCTGGGCATGGGGGTGCGTGCCTCTGGTCCCAGCTACTTTGGAGGCTGAGGCAGGAGGATCACTTGAGCCCAGGAGGTCAAGGCTGCAGTGAGCTGTGATTGTGCCACTGCACTCCAGCCTGGCAGCTTGGGCAACAGAGCGAGACTCTATCTCAAAAATAAAAATTGCCAGGTGTGGTGGCTCACGCCTGTAATTCCAGCACTTTGGGAGGCCGAGGCGAGTGGATCACCTGAGGTCAGGAGTTCGAGACCAGCTTGGCCAACATGGCGAAACCCCGTCTCTACTAAAAATACAAAAATTAGCCACGTGCGCCTGTAATCCCAGCTACTCAGGAGGCTGAGGCAGGAGAATCACTTGAACCTAGGAGGTGGAGGTTTCAGTGAGCCAAGATCATTCCAATGCACTCCAGCCTGGGTGACAGAGTGAGACTCTGTCTCAAAAAATAAAACAAAATAAGAATAATATCCCCACTTTACAAATGAGAAAACTGAGACCCAGATGTGGAAAATGGCTTGCCTAAGGCCACCCAGCTATTCTAGGACTACAGCTATTAGACTCCAAGTTCCATACTCTTATTTATTTTAAATCTAAAAAATTTAGATTCAGGGGTACATATGCATATTTGTTGCACGGGTATAGTGCTTACTGGTGGGCACAGGGCTTCCAGTGTATCCATTACGCAAATAGTGAACATCGTACCTGAGAGGTAAGTTTCCAGCCCTCACCTCGCTCTCATTCTCTCCATTTTGGTGGTCCTCAGTGCCTATTATTTCCATCTCTGTGTCTATGCGCACCACTGTTTAGTTTCTACCTATACGTGAGAACACGCAGTATTTGATTTTCTGTTTTAGTTCACTTAGGATAATGCCTCCAGCTCCATCATGTTGCTGCAAAGGACATGATTTCATTTTTTTTTTTGTTTTTCAAGTGAGACAGAGGGTCTCACTCTGTCACCCAGGCTAGAGTTCAGTGGTGCGATCTCAGCTCACTGCAATGTCCATCTCCTGGGCTCAAGCAATCCTCCTGCCTCAGCACATGCCACCGTGCCTGGCTAATTTTTGTATTTTTTGTAGAGACAGAGTTTCTCCATGTTGCTCAGGCTGGTCTTGAACTCCCGGACTCAAGCAATCCTCCTGCTGAAGCCTCCCAAAGTGCGGGGATTACAGGTATGAGCCACCCCTCCTGGCTCATTTCATTCTTTCTGATGCTGCCCATGCTCTTAACACTACACTCTCCTCCCCTGCCTGCCCCCTTCTGGTAAACTCTTTCCATTACTCAGGGCCCAGCTCAAGTGGCAGCCCCTCTGTGAAACTGCTCATGAATCCCTGAGCTCTGGCAGTCACTCCTGCTCTGTGTTCCCATAACTCCCAGCACTGTGCCTTGCACATAGTAGGCACTCAATAAATATCTGTTGACTGGATGGATAAATGACTGCCTCTGTTATGGCACTTTCCATATGTAAATCATGTATGTAAATGACTCTGCTTCCTCCATTAGATTGGCAGGCGGCCCGGTGAGGTGGAAAGGTGAGGATTTTGGCTGTAGGCCTATGTGGGTTTGAATCCCAACTCTGCTATTCAATAGCTGTGTAGCCTTAGGCAAGTCACATTACCCCTCTGAGCCTCATCAGCAAAATGAGCCCAACACACATTCCCGTTGCAATGACAATTAGGTAAGAACACGTAGGCACAGCACTGTGCTGGCACATAGTAGGTGCACAGCCATTTTCCATGGGTCCTCAAGGGGGCGTCTCATTCTTTGCCACCACCTAGACACTGCCTGTGTGTGCTAAGTGCCTCGCACTGTTCATCTCTTTGCCTGTTCCACTCCCTCTTCCCTGCCTCCCACAGCCAGCTCCCAGGAGAGCGGTCTCATGCTCAGGCTTCCTCTGGGGACCTTGAACAGTGAAGGTGCACAGTCAGCTCTCAGCGTTGCTGACTACCGTAGCCATGAGCATCCACTTTTTTTTTTTTTTTTTTTTTGAGATGGAGTCTTGCTCTGTCACCCAGGCTGGAGTGCAGTGGCCGGCTCTCAGCTCACTGCAAGCTCCGCCTCCCAGGTTCACGCCATTCTCCTGCCTCAGCCTCCCGAGTAGCTGGGACTACAGGCGCCCACCACCTCGCCCGGCTAGTTTTTTGTATTTTTTAGTAGAGACGGGGTTTCACCGTGTTAGCCAGGATGGTCTCGATCTCCTGACCTTGTGATCCACCCGTCTCGGCCTCCCAAAGTGCTGGGATTACAGGCTTGAGCCACCGTGCCCGGCCGAGCATCCACTTTCACTCCTGCACTGGGAAGCCTGGCTTGGCTAAACTGGAGGGAAACAAAATGTTTGGGGTCAATAGTTTAATTTCTTTTGGCCAAGGGACCCTTTATCTACACACAGTCTTTTGCGGAATGTCCATGCAGAAACAGAAAATCGGAACCACTGGATTTGAGGCACTGCCTTCAAACTCAAGGGCCCTAGGGAACCCAGTTTGAAAACCACTGTGGTAGGGCCTGCTGGCTCCTCCTTGAACTGTAACCCCCAGCTCCAGAAGAAGGGGGTGGCTGGGGTTCCCCCGTAGAACTGGGCGAAGTCTCTGCCTGGGCCTCGGGTGTGCTCTGAAGAGAGGGAGGAATGGGGCCAAGGAGTGGCAAACACACAGTGGATGATATGAAGACAGCACTCGGGGACACAGTGAACGCTCAGGACAAAGGTGGGACCACCCTCAAGGGCAACCTCCAGAAGGTGAATCCCACCCACTCAGCCTAGGCAGTGCCAGCCCCACCTCCTCACAGGCGCCTTCCCGGACCCCCCAGTCTGAGGTGGTGCCACCACATGTGTCCCTGTTATGGTGCATAAGGCAACCTGAGGGCGTCTTGTTTGTTGCTTGACTCCCCATCCGTCCCTCCATCCCCTGCACCACCCCCAAGCCCCAGGGAAGCTGCTAGGTGGGAAGGCAGCACGGTGGTTCTGGTGTGGGGTCTGAAGTCAGAGCCCTGGCAGAGGCGGCGATAGACTCTGACTCCCGGAATTGTTGTGAGATACCAGAAGGTGCTCTGGAAGTGGTACAGGGCCATGTAAGCCTGTAGAGAGCACCCTTGGCATAAGTGACTCCATCTTAGAAAAAGACTCCATCTTACATTTCAAAAGGCACCATGCTAACAGGAACCAGATGTTTGACTAATCAACAGAGACTGCACCCAACCAGGCAGGGACATAAGCAGGCACACTCTATTACTATCAGTCCACACCAGAGGACTCCAGCTATAAAAAGATCAGGTCTTCACTAGCTCAAGATGACTCTCTTTTTTTTTTTTTTTTT